ATGTAAAATATTTTCAAAAGATCTAAGCCAGCAATGCAGAGTTGAAAGATCTAAAGATAAAGCTTTTTTATTGGTTGGTTTAGATCTGACTAATGCTGGGTTAATACCTTCACTGGGCTTAGCTCCGCAAACATTACGTGATTAGAAGGACATAGTGTTAGCGAGGGTATCAATCACTTTATCATCAAACATGGTTAAACCTAGTTTGATCTTAAATGTGATAGTCGTATCCGGTGTGCCTTCCTTTACTTCTAACTTTACCTCAAACTTGACTAATTTATTATTTCTGCTTTGAAAAGTTTAATTCCATTCTTTATCAATTCTTCCGTTTCATTTTGTCATTGGAGATCTAGGGGTCTACAGTAATGTGTACTAAAGGGCTTCTTATTTAAACATACATTTCCATTAATTTAAGTGGAATAATAGCTGTCTGGAAAAAAGACACCTTGACTGGAAGCAGCGTCAAAACAACCTATAAAGTGAAATGGACTTTTAAACCTTTTCCCACTTTCAGCAAATAACTCTTAGAGTAATGACACACCCTAAAAGTTAATATCCTTGTCAGAGTATGATTAAACCTGTAGAGGAGTTGAAGCAGATGTTTCTGTTACAATTAAACCCTTAGGATAACGTTTTTATCTCTTATTCTTAATTTCATGAAGTGAAGGATAAATAGCTGCATTAAGTATTATTGATGATTTTTTAATAATTTGATGATGTTCATTGAAAAGGTCAAATTACTTTTTTATTCTCAAGTTAAGCTTGTTGTAAAACTAAGGATTGCGATATGGCCAGTTGAATAAACATCTTCCCGATTTGGAGCTTCGTGTGGATTAGTGAAATTAAAAAATACAGCTTTTGTAAACAACCTTATTACTAAACAAATCGTTAACGTATATTATTGAGTTTTTCAAATTTTTAACTGTTAGGGAGCACCTTGAAAAATCATCCGTAAAAGTTAATATATTATCAAATAAAATTAGTATATTTTTTTTGAATATATAATTAATTTGGTGAAGCTTAATATTAATAAGATTATATTTGATAATTTATTTTTATTCATTTGCTTATTTTAGATTTTTATAGTATGCATTTTTTCAAATTGTTGTTTTTTGCTAAGAAATTATTTCAGCATTATTTTTTATATAGATATATCTATATAAAAATTATAAGCATTATTTTTTATATAGATATATTTTCATATTTACGAACTAATTACAAATATTATTTGAGAAAAAAAAGTTTTTTAAATTTGAGTTTTGCATATTTTTTTTTAAATATTTTTTCTTAAATGATTGAAGTTACATGGTGACTGAGCTTGTACATATATTTTAATTACTTTAAAAAATTTTTAAATTGGGTTTTGGTAGTAAGCGAAAGATTTGGGTTCTAGTAAACGAAGAATTTGTTGCAGTAATTACAAAATATTCTGGTAAGTCACTGAAACATGAACACTCGATTGTTCCTTTCAAACAATGTTAAGTAAAAAAGAGTTAAAAAATGTTTAATAACTAATTCCAAAGATTTAATATAATGGTCCTTTCGGTAAGTAATAAAATTGTACGGAACCATATTTAGAAAACATAAGGATCAGATAAGATTTAGTTTTCTGATTTCAAGAGAACTGCTTAAGTTTGTCACAAATTGAATATAAAAATAAATATAAAAAAAAATGGCAAAAGTAAGCTAAAAAAAATACCACTAAGAAAAAAAGTTTTTGGCTTTTATCCGTTAAAGCAGATATAAATTCTTTTAAATTTCACAATTTAAAATTATAATGATTTTTATAAGAGAAAAAATATTACATTTAAAATAAAGATTTAAAAATCATTGTCTGTAAGAACTAAACAGAGTCATAAAGCGTCAGTTATTTTTTCACATAATTGTTTTGTATAGAAGAAATAAGTTAAGTAAACACGAAATTTAAAAATCAAAAATATTTGAATTAGCTGACTTCGTATACTGGCTAACTTGAGTAACAACTGTTTCAATATGTTTTTTCAACTTTCCTATGACAGTCAGCAACAAATTTTACAAAAAATTTGAATTTTTATGAGTTTCTCATTTTTGGTGATGGTGATACCCTTACAAAAGACCACAGATTTGTTGTGCTATCTGAAGGAAACCTTTACACCTTTTTGATAAAACATATTATTTGAAAAAACTTGATAGTAAAAAAAAAGAAATATTTCATACATACGAATTCGTGTTAAATGTAATATTTTATGCATGATATACTACAAATAGTTATAAAACAAATGTTTAATGAATTTAGCTGTTGACATTTTTTAATGAATGTTTAATAAATATAGCTGATGATTTTTCTTCCTCTAGTATTAATATTGCTAGTTTTTCCATGGTGCTCTGTGATATGTCCAAAAAGACTTCTGGGAGCACATTAATAATAAAAAAAATGATTGCAATTAACATTAAGTTTAGCAAAAACAAACTTTATTTTGCATAAAGTTTATTTTAAAACAAAAACTATAAATAAAACTAAAAAGATAAAAATAATATAAATAAAACCATGATTGCTCTAAAAATAATAAATAAAAAAAAATGTTTTCCATATTTTTAAGTTTCAATTGTTTCAACATATAACGATTTTTAGTACAGTCAATAAAATCAATGGTTTGTTGTTTCAGTGTACACTGAACTGAATACACGTGTATTCAGTTGAGTGAAAACTGAATACACGTATATTCAGTTTTTCTGTGTATGTTGTTTCAGCATAATGCATTGTTCCGTAGAATTTTCTTTCTTAGAATTAGATGTTTATTTGAAAATACCGTTTATACATTTTATTTAAAAAATGGATGCAAAAATGTGAAATCTTTGACGATAATCATTTGTTATCTTCGAATTTCAAATCTTTGACAAAGATTATTTTACTACAATAAATACATTTTTTAAATATCTTTTTGTTTTTAGCAACCATTTCATTATTTTTATTGTTAACATATTCATCATGGATACAACTTAACGTTTTAAGTAAACAGAAACTTATTATCGACTTATTATCTTATTGTTCTAATATACTTTCTTCCTTTTTCAATATACGTTTAGATTAACATATAAATTTAGTATTCAATAGAAAAACAAACAAAATCCACTACGTTTGTAAAATTGTCAAATAAAAATTAACAATCTTAAACAAAGATAAATTAAAAAAAAAAAATTTCACACGTAAGTTTTCCTCTATCATTATATACAAAGGTTGACAGAGATTAATTTAAAATATTTTAATTTAAATAAACTAATTAAAATAAACTTATAAACATTAAAGTTAAAAAAATGTTTTACTGAACTACCAAGTGCTAAATAAAACAATGTCTGAAAAAATTTCATTTTTAAATTACATTTTTAGAAAGCTAATTCTCATTAGCTCATAAAATGTTACTTGTTAAAAATATTTAATTTTCAGGAAAACATCAATATTTCAGTAAACTAATACATGGTTCAAAGTTATTACCAAAATTATATCCCTTTTATTAAATCTTTATATAAATTAATAGGTTTAAAAATGATGCTTTATTAGTAAATTAATGAAGTATTGATGTTTTCCTGAAACTAAATATCTTTAACAAGTAATATACTGCCTTAATGAGAATAAGTTTTTCAAAAAAGATAAAATAGAGAATTTAATTAAACTATATGAAGATCTTTTTTTTAAACTTTACTTTAAAATAATTGAGGTTCTCGTTATACAAAAATTTAATTTGAAAAAAGGATAGGAATTACAAATTTAATTGCTCTGAGTTGGGAGCGGCGATAAATCATTTAACAACGTTAAACATGTTGATGCATCGTGTTCGGTTACAAATATAATAGCTCTGAGCGTAAAAAAGACAATAATTGTTTCAAAATTTATTATATCGATTGTGAAATTTGAATAAACCATACTGGTTTAAAGAAACTACCCCTATTACCTATCCACTAGTAGAAGTTAAAGATATTGCTTAAATTACTATAAGCATTTAACATAAGCACGTAAATTTATATATTAAATGTGTATACATTTTTTATTTTACTTTATATACAACTAAAAAAATAAAAAAAAATTATAATTTGAGTTCAGATGAAATGAGACTTTGAGCACTAAGGCATTTCATTTTTTTTATTTAGGTGCCCCCATTTAACCAGGAAGTTCACGTCTCCTTCCTAACCGTGACGCGAAAATATGACCAGAGCTCGTTTCGAACCTGGATCTCCTGCTTATAAAGCAAGCGCTGTAACCACTGCGCCACGGCCCTCTAAAATAAATGTTTTATTGCCGAGCAGCTATTACTTGTAAGAGATAATCTCACTATTTTATTTAAACATTTTTTCCCACAGCATTCAATAAGTTTTGAAAAGTTTTTTTGCGTGGTAAAAAGCAGAATAAACTACTAAAAAACGATATAATAGAAAAATTTAGGAGCTCTCTTAAAGTTATTACTAAATCATTTTTGAATGGCTTTTTATCATTTAAACCAAGTAATTCGCTGTTACAATAAAATTGTTTAAATCTTCGTATTATGATATTTTTTTATTAGACAATTTCAGACTGTAAAGATATTTCAACTCATCATTAGCACAATTTATTAGAAGAACGATGAATTTAGGCAAACTCAGTGTCATTTAAAAAAAATTTAAACGTTAATACGAGTATGTAAAAAAAGATCAAATTTTCGTATTAAAAAAACATGGTTTGACTATCTTTCATTTAGTTTAATCCAAGTTGAAAAATCACAATTACGAAATACTAAAAGTAATACGTTTACTTCTCATGTTATACTAAAACTAATAACTCTACTTCTCACGCGTAATAAAAATGTCTATAGATAAAAGAGTTAAACAAATTATACATGTGTTAAAAGTTTATACAAAATATCAAAAATTTTATACATACAATAAATAAAACTCTTATTTTGAAGACATTTCTTATAAATTATGTAATTATGTAATTATGTTAAATTATGTGAGCCGAAATATAATAAAGATTTGATAAAAATTGTTAATAAAATTGTATAATCAAATCTTTTTATTTTTAAGTTTAACACTCGAAATTACATGCTAGGAGTCGGCGTAAACAATACCTCAACGTTCCTATTGATTAAATAAACCAGAGCAAACGAGATAGCAAATATAACGATTCCCGTGAACAATACACCCGTCTCTGACGCGGGACTAGCAACTAAATACATTTGCATGCCAATATCGGAATTCCACCTGTAAAAAAGTCACATAACGTTGAAAGTCAAACATTAAGAAAAATAATATAATAAAAATAACATCATATCGTCTATTTTAAAGTATTCAAGGTAAATATTTAAAAATTAAATTATATCATATAACAATAAAAACTTGTAACGATTTACATGCTTTCAGCCCATGTTGAATATTCTGATGAATGATAATCTTGCAGTTCGAATGCTGGCGAAACCGCCGGTGTCATATATGTTGTCGAGCGAACACACACCATTGACCCTCGACCGGTAACAGCAAAGTACGAGAAAGCATAGGGAAGCTTAAGTTAAAAATAAGTAAAAAGTTTTTACTTATTCTAAATATAAAAGTAATGAAATATAAACAAAAAAATAATAATAAAAAAAAGGATATATAAAAAATAACTATTCGTTAAAGTAATAAATATTCTAAAAACATCAGAAATATTCTAAAAACATCAGAAACAAGATTTTATTTCGAAATTTCATGCCACGTTACACGGCAATTATAAGAAAACGTACAGAGGTTTTGGCTTTATTTTCGCATTGTGTTTCCTCCAACCACTCTCCAGTGTAGTAACTCAGTAAACGATGGATTACTTGGGTAATAGGATTGTCAATTTGTAAGACACTTACATATCGTGACATGGGTACATTCGGCAACGGATTAGATTTCTTACCAAGTACCTCTTTATAGCTAGGACAATTCGCTGATATCATAAGACAATAAAGTAGATTTGCAGTCTAAAAGTAATTTTAGATAATTAAAATAATTAAAAGTAATTCTAGATAATTAAAATAAATAAAGTCTAAATCTGCACGAATTTAGAATAACTTAACAGCAAAGATTTATAATTTAGCATAATTTAACAGTAAATATATATAATTTAGCAGTAAAAATGTGTAATTTAGCATTTTTTTAAAATTATTTCAATTATAATGCCAACAATTTTATTGTTGAAACAAGTTTTTAATACATCAAAATATTACAAAAACAAAATACTATTAGTGTGCACAGTTCACATATGGAACAAAGTTTTGTGTTTTTCTAGTTAATTATAACTTTGCCGTTCCGAATCTGTTGGTAATAAAAAATTCTGACATGTGGTTCGGTCTTAAAAGGGCTCAATATGGAACCCGTAAAAAATCTTTTTTCCAAAAAAACATCACTTATTAAATTTTTTTTGTTTTTATTTTGTTTTATATTTGTTGTTTAGGAACTGTGTTAAAAGAAAAAAAAAAACATGCATTTTTTGAATAATTATAAGGAAAAGTAATTTTGAGGCAGTGGCTAGATATTTTCTAAATATATCTAGCGGCTAGATAATCTATCTAGACACCTTGTGTCTATCCAGCTAGATATTTATAAAAAATTTCAAATTAAGTTAAAAATAACTGCAATGGTACCAGCAAAAAAGTTATGAAGCGATTTTTACATAAAAATTTTTATTTCTTGTTTTATGGCCTAAAAGCTGTAAAACTGAATTAGTAATAAAAAAAAAAATAGCGATAAAAATTTTTTAAATTTTATTTTTGTTTTGTTTTCTATAAAAACTACTTTACCAAAAATTAATTTTAAAATTTTCATACATTTGTGAAAGAAATAGAAGGAAAAGTAATTATTTGACATACTTTTCTTCGTGGCTATCAGAGACCGCTAGAAATTTCCGAAAATATCTAAAATAAGTTTAAAATGAGGTTAATTTTGCATGTAAAAATGATTTTAAGCAATTTTTTAACAAAATATTATAGTTTTTGTTTTAAGGACAAAAAACTGTAAAATATTATTAGTATTATTTTTTAAAAAATCAAATGCTATTGACATTTAATTTTGTTGGCGAAATTAAATGTCAATTTTATTGGTGTTATGTCAATAGCATTTGTTGGAATGGACTCTAAATGGACATTATTTGGACATTTGAATGTTGTTGAACAATGGACTGTTGTTGCCGAAGTTAAAATACAAAACTTTTATTTTAGCTTTTTTTACGTTAAAAAAATTAAAAATATAAAGTTTAAGTTATTGGAAATAAGTTCAAAAAAGAAAGTTAACAAACTTTGATTCAATTACTAGGAATTGGTTCAAAAAAGCTTAAATAAAATTATAAATAAAGCACTAACTTCAATTTTAAATAACTTTTTAATTGAAATCGAAGTTAGTGAAAATTTAAATTTAAAATTTAGATTAATTTTAATTTATCTAAATTAAAATTTAGATTAGTTAAAGTTAATCTAAATTTTAAATTTAAACTAGTTTTCCTATAAGATTTTATTTCATCTCCACATTTAAAATATCTTTTTATAATATATTTTTAACTTGTATCTGCTTTATAGTCAATAGTGATCCTAAAAAAATTTTAGAATCATTATTGACCCCAAAATTTATCATTGACAACACTTTTTCCGTAATTTTAACAATTACGGAAAATTTGACTCAAGCAGTCTTTGTTCCATTAATACTTTATTATTACTTTGATCATTGATTTTTCTAAAATAATTTTTTAGTTGAGCCCAATACATTTCTATTGGGTTGTGCTCACAATGAAACTTAGAAATATGGATTATTTTTACACCCATCTTATACTTTTTATTGTGCTTTTGAACTAACTTATCTAACTTTGATCTTTTTGTTAAAGCTAAGTAAGACGATGCTTTTATTCTTAAGTAAGCAAAAAGACCGAAAATGTCTGAGATTTTAATGTGTAAGTCAATAATTTCTAATTCTTTGCATAACAAAAATAAACCTTAATAAACACCATTGCAATCAGAATAGTTAATTGTCTTTTCCACGCCTTCATCGAGCCATTTAGTTGCTTTACTGGACAAGTTTTACCAGGTGATTTTGCAAACATACTCACATCTAATAACGCTTTTGTATGTGTGGTTGAATTGTCGACAAAAATATCAATTCTAAAATTTACTGACTTTTACTGACATTATTACGCTATATCTCAGTAGAATTAGAAGCCGAGTAAACTCAGCTTCTAATTCTACTGAGATAGAGAAAAGTAAGAATTGCTTCATTGCCGAAATAGGAGTCTTTTTTGGGCGTAATGATGTTTGTTGCTGTTTGAGAAAAAAAATTCAACTTTTTTTTTTCAATATATTTATTAATTAATTTAATTAAATATTATTAATTCTAATAAATTTTCTAAAACTCAACCCAGTTTTTCTTATTAGTTGCAATTCTTCACTGACAGCTTTTTTCCATTCACAATCATTTAAAGAAAAGGTTTTTAATTTTGGATGGCACACTATAAAATCACTTAACATTCTACTGATTCCTCTTCCTTTATTAAATATTGGACTAAAGAAAGCATGAAGTCATCTAAATGATTGAGTACATCAATGACCAGAGTATGACCAGAGCGCTTTGTAATTTCATCATGAGCTATAACAATTTGGCAGTTGCTGTTTTCAAAAACATCTAACAGTTTTTTATGTTGTCAGCAAAATAACTGACAAATGTTTTTCTATAAACTACGTCTTCTCTTTCATGCCTATTAACAAATGGACAAGCTTTGTTATTCGACCAAAAAAATCCCCAACTAAATAGTAAGTTTTGAATTGCTTTACAGCTTCCACTATATTGTAATATTTTTTTTTTTTTTTGGTTCATTCTTTAGAGAATCACTTGGTTTTGACTATTCTAAAAATGCATTTTTTTTGAATAATATCAATGCTAAATGGACTCTGAGAAACTTTATCAATGATGAAAGCGCATTTAAATTTAAATTGTTTTCAAACAATTTAAATTTAAATCAACATATAAGGTATGACACCAGCCATTTTTAAAAAGGAAGAAAATATCCCATCAGAAATGCTTTTATTTATAAATTTTGCGAGACTTTCTCTGGAAAACTTATTATAAGACTTAAACATATATTTTGGTCGCCACTAGCTTTCTTATTAATTTTCATTAAAACAATAATTTTGGAAATATCGTTTGGTGTAATTTTATGAAATTTAAACTTGGAGATATCATTTTTGGCAATGGTGTTTACAACGATTGTCAGGAAACAGAATCTCTTCTTCCCCGTTAATCAATTTAAAACAGTGTTTCTGTGCAGTTGCAGTTGTTGTTGCTTAAATTTGGATAAGTTAATGTTGCCAAACTCGAAATGATTCTACTTATTTGGATTCATTGGATTTTTGTGAGCGTAAGTGCAATAAAAATTGCAAGACTATATAATTGTTCCATTTTAAATCCTCAATTCCTTTCTCGCATAGCATTTATAATCATATAGAAATTAAAGTTGTTCAAATTCAATATTGTGTTCTTCTTTCTCCAATCAAAAACTTTTCTACTACTTTTTTTAGGCATTTTTTTAGATATCGACCTTATATATGAGCAAGGTGCTTTTTTTAATTTCATTAAGATGTTGATTACGCTTATTTTATTTATTTTTAATCTCATAATACTGCAAAGGTGCAAATCTCTTAATGATGATGATCTTCTACACTTATACAAAAAAAATACTAAACCAGATAAATGAGGATTTTTTTTTTATCTCTTTAACAATATCAGTTGCTTGTAACAATAAAACACCTAAAACTGTCAATTTAAAAATATAACTGTTTACTTGTTGATTATTTCTGCTTACTAAAATATCTGTTATTGTATGTTATGGTTATCTGGTGTTGTATGTTATGGTTGTCTAGTGTTGTATGTTATGGTTGTCTGGTGTTGTATGTTATGGTTATCTGGTGTTATATGTTATGGTTATCTGGTGTTGTATGTTATGGTTGTCTGGTGTTGTATGTTATGGTTATCTGGTGTTGTATGTTATGGTTATCCGGTGAAGTATGTTATACTTTTATCAGCATTTATCAGAGTTAATTATAATATAGCATGCTTTTTTATTTCACCATAAAACATGAAATTTGCAACAATAAATTTTAAATTTATGTAAAAAAGTTTAGTTTATAAGTTTAGCATTTGTGCTTCATTTTTTTAAATTTTTTAATTCATTTATGATTTTATTTTAGTTTTTTTGTTTGTTTATCTTTTCCTTTTTTTTTCTCTCTATTGTTTTTTTTTTTTTTTAGGTGTCACTTTATTAACTAGTTTTTAATTACGTGAGAGCATTATGTAAATTATTACATCATTTTAAAAATTGTATATTAGTGTTCTATTACGGGTAGTTAAAGGTTAAAATAAAATTTAAAGAAAAATGGTTTTTTTAAAATGCTGATTAAATTCAAATATCAAAAAAATTTGAAATTCCATTGCATAATGGAATTTTCAAAATTTCAACTCCCAAAGAACAAATACAAAACAAAATAAAAAAAATAAAAATTAATACGTGATATGTTTTTTTTAGAAAAAAGATTTTTTGTGGATTCCCTTTTTGGCCCTTAATAAATCGAATCACATGTCAGAATTTTTTATTACAAACAGATTCAGAATGGCAACACTATAATTAACTAGAAAAACATAAAATTATCAATTTTGTTCAACAAGTGAATTTATGTATATTTATAAATTTTTTGACATTTTATGCATGTCCATTTGTCCTTGTTCGTATGAAAGCCAGAAGCAATCAATATAATTGAATTATCAAAATGATAATTGAAGTATTAAAAAAAAAAAGAATTAAATTATTTCTTAAAGAACAAGTCTTTCTGCAAAAAAGTTTGCAACTGAAAATGGAAATTTTTTATTCATAATCAAAAACAAACAAGAAGAATTTAATTAATAACTCTATTTAGCAGCAAAAAAGTTTTATAAAAGACTCTAACATGTCTCAATTAAAAGGCTCAAAATTTATTACTCTAATGGATTGACATTAAGACGTCAACAAGTTGTTGTTATAAGTATAGTGAACACATAACATAAGAATGTTTTCATAATTAACCCATGAAAAAAACAAATTAAACACAGCCTAAATGAAAAGTTAAAGTTAGCATTGTAATAATAACTTATAAAACAGGTGTAGATTATGTAAGTGCAAAGACTTGAACTTGTTTATCATTTTGTAATCTCCTAAAATAATGAGACAATTATAAAGAGAATATCATGTAAAGATAAATAAAACCTAAAAGAAAAATAAAATCTATAAATGCATTAAGGTAAGAAAAGTTTAAAAAACCATTATAAACCTGCTAATGTAAGGTAATTCAATGAAAAAAAGGTAATATATGAAAATAATTTAAAATCTTTAATCATTAAATAAACATAACTATATATTTTTAAAAATACCGCATAATATAAGCTGTAACTTATTATTTTTTTTTTTTTATTTGCATTCACTCCCAACAAGGCTGCAAGCAACCACTATTAAGTTGGGAGTTACTAGGAAAAAAAAAAAACAGAGTTATAGAGCAAGGAAACGGTTGACAGAAGACTTGAAAAGTTGAAGTTTGTATGAGTCAGGAAAACATGAAGATGGGAGAGAGTTCCAAAGGACTGAAGTGCGGGGAAAAAAACTAGATGAATAAAAGTTTTTAGAGGTAGAGAATGGAATCAGAAGTAAGGAAATGGCGAGCACGATAAAGAGAAGTAACCTTAGCAGAAGCTAATTTAGCAATCAATTGTATATATGGTTTCCATGAAAGGTCAGTAGTAAGCAATAATCTAAGAAGACGTAAAGAGGACGACTCAGTAAGAGGATTGCCATTCATTAATATAGGAATGTTGACCATATTACGGTAGTTGTTTGCAGTAAGCAACTGGGTTTTTTTAGAGTTAAAATTCACAAGCCACTGTGAACCCCAATCTATTACTGAAGTGAGATCAGATTCAAGATCAGCTGCTTGTTCTAGGCGATCAAAAAGAGAAGACTTTTTGTCAAGACAGGAGTATAAAGTTGAGTCATCAGCAAAAAGAGCTACTTTAGATGAAAGGTTGTCAGGAAGATGGTTTATGTAGATAAGAAACAAAACAGGGCCCAGGATGCAACCTTGGGGAACCCCAGAAGTTACTGGAAATAAAGAAGAGTGTTGGCCTTCAAGGATGACTTTAATAAACCGGTTAGAAAGAAATGATTTGATAATCTCAAAAACTTTCCCAGAAACACCATATGAAGCAAGCTTATGGAGAAGACCAGAATGCCAAACTTTGTCGAAAGCTTTAGATATGTCGAGAGCAATAGACCTAGCCTCACCGCCTCCATCTAATGCACGATAAAATCTTTCAGTTACAGCAGTTAGCAAGTCGGCCGTAGAGCGAGAGGATCGAAAACCGTATTGATTGTCTGACAGCAGTTTATTTGACTTAAGATGAGATGTGAGGAATTTGTTGATCAAAGACTCAAAGACCTTGCTAATAACAGAAAGAAGACTAATCGGACGATAATTGGAGAGGTCAGAATTTCTCCAGAGTTTTTGAATATTGGAACCACAGATGCCATTTTCCAACAAGCAGGAAAACAAGACTCAGTCAAACAGTTGTTAAATAGTTTAGAGAGAATTGAAGAAAGTTCTGGAGAACAATTCTGCAAGACTGTGACAGGAATGTTGTCTGGACCACAAGCTGTAGACGAGTTTAATTGAGATATGACTTTAGCAACAGAAGCCGGAGTGATTTGAATGTCTAACAATGGGTCAACCTGTTTGACTGGAATGGAAGGAAGAGAATGTCCATAAGATTCAAGAGTGGAATTAGAAGAAAAGTTCTTTGCAAATAGTTCTGCCTTATCCTTGGGAGAGGTAATAAGATCAGTCCCATGAATGAGAGGTGGAATGTTAGATCTACCCTTGTTAACAATGCTGTTGAAGATTATCCAAAAGTCTTTAGAGCCTAACTTCTGCGATAAGATGCGAAATTTAGTGAACTGAGAATAATGGAGTTTAGCATCAGAAAGCACCTTTTACATCGATTTCTTGCAATACTAAATAGCCCTTTGTTCTCAAGAGAGTTGTTCTTTTGAAAAAGATGAAAAAAATGAGTACAATGGATATAGCAGCCACACAAGAAGGAGAAAACCATGGAGTAGAATGAGGCTTGACTAGAAACCGACGGGAAGGAATAAAAGCTTCCATTCCAGCCTGAATCCAGGAGGTTACGAAGGAGGCGCATTTGTCAGCTGAGAGAGAAAAAACATCAGCCCAAGGACCATCACAAAGAAAATCATGAAAGTAATCCCAGTCAGCTTTAGGGTAGTAGTAGGTGGTGCGATGATAAGGTGAGCCCAAAAAAGAAGTACGAGAAGAAAGATTTATAGAGATCATTGCATGGTCAGAACCACCTAAGCGAGAAAAGGGAGAAACTGAACATAAGCTAGGGTCAGAGACAAGACATAAGTCAAGGAGTGAAGGTAAATGATTAGGGTTGTCAGGAAAACAAGTCACAAAGTTAACTATCTAAGTAAGAGATTAAGAAACGCAAAAGTTAAAGGCTTTAGTGCCATCAGGATCAGTGGTGTTAGAGCCAAGCCATTCAGTGTGATGGGCATTAAAATCACCACCAACAACAATATTGGCAGAGGAGTAAAGATAGAGGGCATGGTCAATTTGATCAGAGATAACATCTAAAAGAGTGCAATCATGGGAAGAAGGAGAACGATAAAGAACAAAGAGAAAGGTGATAGAGTGAAAAGGTGCTAGGCGAAAGCACATAAAAGAATGGTCAAAGGATTCGAACCTGATTTCACGACAAATAGGGGAATTAATGCGTATGTATACCCCTAAACCTAGCATGTGACTATTGGAGTCTTTACGAATCAAAGGATAGTACCGATCAACACTGACATCTGAAAAAGGAATTGCAGAACTTAAATTTGTTTCACTGAGTGCAAGCAAGTCTGGTGAATTTAGCAGGAGGTAAGACTCAACTGACGGAAAGTTGCTTCGCAGACAGCGAATATTTGTAAATGGTATATTAAAATATTTAGGTGGTGGGGATGGTTTTTTAGGTTTTAAATTTTTTGGTTACTTTGGTCATGATTTGGGTTTAATGAGAACTAGACTCATTCATAGATAGAGCACAGCCTCCTAATCAATAAACTATGCAGTTGTCTCAGTCCTGTTAATTAATCCTAAGCCGTGACATAGGGCTCCTTATGTGGCCTTGACAATGCACGCCAAAAGCATTAACAAGGAAACCATCCATGCGCAACATGGCACGGTTAATACTCTGATATTTTGCAGCTGTTGATGGAATCAGCCTCTCAGAGTTTGGGAAACCTTACTACCAGCCGGCCTCAGAACCATTAAACTGAGTTTTAGAGCTGTACCCTCATATGGAGATAACAGGAAGAGTTGCATAGCCATTATCAAGGAGGCATAAGCAAAATTCTATGAGTAGAGTCAAGGAGATCCAGCATTCATCATCCTAGGCAGGAAACAATGTAACACAGGTTACATCTACGCCAGCCTAATAGATGAAGAAGGGGTTCGAGGCTGGTTAGCAGAATTTTTATGCTTACCCCTAAAGTCTTTGCCTAGGAGGCCTTCTTCAAGACAGTAGCAGGATGCAGTTAACATCTGCCCAAGATGAGTATTTTTATCGAGACACCATCTCTAGCCTTTACTTAACCAAGAGCCCCAAGGCAGGGGATGTTTAGCTGGATGCAGTTGACATCTGCCCAAGATGAGTGTTTTTATCGAGACACCATCTCTAGCTTTTACTCAACCAAGAGCCCCAAGGCAGGGGAATTTTTAGTCGGAGTTTATTTCTCCTAGCCTTTGCATAAGAAGAGCACACTCTGCAAAGCAGCAGGGCTTGTGGCAGGTGGTACTCGGTTACGTGATACTAGTAGCAAGATTGATCTCGATTATCCTGACCTGACCTGGACACTGCATCTAACAAAATACAGGAGTCTAAGGTGAGTGTAGGTTTTGTAGTTGGAGT